GAAAGCCGAGTGTGGCCACAGATCACACTCTGTCCAATGAGATCTAAGTGTGTGTCATTCATGTGCTGTGCTTGTCCTTACCCTTGCAGCTACTAGGACACAGACTCAGGGGAAGCCATCCTGGGCCACAAGGACCAGAGCCACACCCCAGATGGTAGAGCAACCACATCTGAATCCTTCAGAGCTGAGCTGCCATACCCATTTGGGACTTTCAACTGAGAGAGAGAAAATTCTATGTGTTTAAACCACTCTTACTTCGGTATCCTCTCCCATTGTGCCAAATGTATGCACTCACTAATACAGGGTGTCTGAAAGCTAATGCTTCAGGGAAGCACTGGTGACAAACAGAAGAATCTTTGGTCTTCTTCAATCTCCTGTTCATGCTTCTGTTCAATCCTGCCTCCTCCTCCAGGGTGCTAAATGCAGGCATCACCACTCCCTACCCTCAAAAAAATCCCAAGAGCCCATTTTACTATTTATCCGGGAGAAGTGTTTTCTAAGGAAACAGACGGAAATGCCAATCCTTACATTGGTGAAGAACCAGAGCAAACAAAATAAAAGATGCTAGACAAGTAACATAGATCCACTTCAAAGATGGCGCCGTGAGCTCAGGAGCCGGCTTTCCCCACGTGATCAGGACACGCCCCTGTGGTGGTGTTGGCAAACAGGCAAGTAAGGAATGGGGGGAACCTCCAAAACCAAAAACGTACAGTCGCAAGCTTCTACCAGTCTGGGTTTTCTTTTCCTGATTTGTACCATGAAAGCAGCTGGCTCGGTGATTGTAAAAAACATAAATAAAGATGCGAAACCTTTTCAAAAGTCTCACGTGTATAAGATAATAAAGGTGTTGTGGGTGAAGTGGGAGTAATCACGATCATCTAGAAGCCAAATGCTGGGAGCCCTCACGGTGTCCTGGGCACTGGGATGGCCACATTGACCATCTCACTGAAGCCTCAAAGGCCATTCATCTAAAATGATAAGATTGTTGTTGTATTGGAACCATACCAAGGTCTTATCTTCTGACAGTGCTTTGCTCGTGAGATCACTTGTAAAGCATCCATAAAAATTCTCTGGTCAGACTTCTAAAAGTTTCATGTGGAAAGATAGTTGTTTAAAAAAAAAAAATAGATGTTAAGAACACTTTGCTTCTTAAAATCCCTTTTCAAATCTAGTCACTGGTTTTAAAAATAGGAAATTATACCAGTTCAGTCATCCTGTAGTCTTGGTAGATAACACTAATAAAAAGGGTCAGCAAAGTATATTTTGAAAGGTTTTTCCCCCAAAATTGTTACAGGGCAGTGTGATCTACAATTAACAGATTCCTACACCAGTTCTCAGTGGGTGTTTGGATTGAAGTTGGCCATTTCTCATTAATAATGTGGCAGTGTTTAAGCAGGTTTACTAAAAAAGATAACACTTCTAAGAGCTGAGCCATTTAGTTCATCCCTCAAGCACCATAAAAGGTGTTTTGGATGAATGACGGCCAACTGAGGCATGGTGACTAATGAATTGTTCTGTTCTTCCTTCCTTTCCTTTTTCCTTTCCTTTTTTTTCTTTCTTTTGGGATTTTATTTATTTATTGGACAGAGAAAGAGTGAGAGAGAAAAAGCAGGGGGAGAGGAAGAGGGAGAGGGAGAAGCAGACTCAGGGGGCCCGATGTGGGGCTTGATCTCAGGACCCCAGGATCATGACCTGAGGCAAAGGCAGATGCTTAATGACTGAGCCACCTAGGTGCCCCTGTGCTGTTCTCTCCTGAGAGAGAAAGATGGGGGTAGGTGATAAAGCAACTGGAAGGACTCAGGCACGGGCAGTAAAAGCCGTCACGTTTACCTTGTTTGTTGCAAAGGACAAAGTCTGAGGAGTGCTGTTACTCTAGATAACACAACCAACATCTCCCTGTACATTTTCTTTGCAGCCTTTTCCTTCTTTTGTTCCTACATTTCTCTGCATGCTTTCAAAGAAATCGTGAGAGGTCAGTGTCTCATTCAGACAAAAGTAAAATGATAAGCCTGAAGATCGAAGTGCTACCCTCATTGCTAAAAATGTTAGTGGGGAGGGAAGTGACTGGCAGGTTTGAGACATTTTTACCTCATCGAATGTCTGGACAATGTTCTGGGCCCACACAGTGCCATGGAATCCACTAATTTCTACCAGGGTTAAAAAAAGATAGAGTGTGGCAGTGCCCACTGACCAGCACAGAGAGCAGCCAGGAGGAGTCTGCAGTGTCCCCTCTGGTGTTGCTTATGGGAGGGGGTGTCATCTCAGTCAGCAAGGCAGTGGGCACTACACTAGGGTGTCCAGGTCTCAAAGACCGACATTTCATCAGGCTCTTAAAAACTGAGTTAGGGCTCTGGTAGGTTACAGACTCTGATGGCACAAAAATGTTAAGAGCTCTAAGTGTCTGAAATGATACTGGTGGAATTTTGGAGGGCGGGGGAGGCAACCTGTAGAGTTTATTATATAATGTGATCTCAACTATGTAAAAATGTGCCAGGAAAAATCTGGAAGGAAATGTAGAAAAATAGTAAAAGTTTTCTCTTCTTGTTAAGAGTAGAAGCATTGGTAGGGGTGCCTGGGTGGCTCAGGCTGCTGAGCAATTGACTCTGGTTTCAACTTGGGTCATGGTCTCAGGGTCCTGCGATTGAACCCCATCGTGGGCTCCATGCTCAGCGGTGAATCTGCTTGCGGATTCTCTCCTTCTCCCTCTACCCCTCCTCCCACTTGCACTCTCTCTCTCTCAAATAAATAAATAAAATCTTAAAAAAAAAAAAAGTAGAAGCACTGGTTAACTTCTCTATAGTTTTCTATATTTCTTTACTCTTCTACACTGAGCATTAGAGAAACATATTTTCCCCATTACAAAAAGACAGGGGAAGAGATATTTGGTTATGATAGAAATAACTAGATTCCTATTTCTTTTTTAGATAACCTATTCTTTTTTTAAAAGACTTATTTATTTATTTGAGAGAGAGAGAGAGAGAGAGAGCAAGCGAACGCATACATGGGGTGGAGGGGTGGAGGGAGAGGGAGAAAAGAGTCTTAAGTAGACTCTGCACCAAGGGTGGAGCTTAATATGGGACTTGATCTCACAACCCTGAGATCACGACCTGAGCAAAACCAAGAGTCCAATGACTAACCATCTGTTCCACCCAGGTGCACCCTAATTTATTTTTTAACATCCAATGCAATGAAACGAATCTGTATTATAGCTCTGATTTATTCACTGATACTAATTCCTTTAGATTAGGACTTTCTTAGAAAACTCCATCTACTTACAATGATACACTTCTCATCAAGGGTACTTAGGCGATCACACTGCCCTTGCCTGTACATAGCATGACTTTTAAGGTTATAACAATTAACTTTAAAAACAAACAAAATTAAGGATGACTTTAATCAGTGCAACATAAATTAGCATTTCCCTTCAGGTAGTTACTTAAGGAAACCATTCATTCTTTCATTGGTATTGACAACTCTCAAAGGTTTTTGGGTGGTTTGTTTTTGGTTTTGGGGGTTTTTTTGGTTTGGAGCTTTCTGTGGTACTGCTCAGGAAAAGCATTCTGTTGCTTCAATCACTCCCTATTTTTGACCAAAAATGGTTTTACCAGTTTGATACCTCAGTTACCTGACTTGACTTTAAGTGGCTTTTAGCCTGTCCTAAAAAAACAGATCTGTCCTCAAAGGATAAAGATCCCCTAACACTGAGATTTAAAAAAAAAAAAAAAAAGTAATGCCACAGACTTTTTGAAAATAATTCTGAAACAAAGTCCTCCAACCATGTTTTGAGTATTACCAGCATTCTCACAACACATGACTGACCTCTCCCTTCCAAATGACTACTCTGAGGTGGCCAGTGTGTTGGGGGTGGGGGGAAGGGATCCTTTACCGATGAATGCAAAGCCTAGATAAAGACTATGGAAATAGACTGATTTCATATTCCAGTAAAAACTAACAAAGGCCTGTCAGAAGGCAAAGGTTTTAAAGTACAATAGAGAAATGAAAAGCCATCAGTAGGCGCTTTGATCTAGCCAGCAGGGGCAGAACCCCAGGCTGGAGACACCAGGGGCTCCCTCCTGTAGAACAATGTTCATAAAAGACATGACTACACTTTCTTCTCTCTCCACTTGCCTCGTTCGTCATCGAGCAACACTGGCTTCACATTAGAATCACCTGGGGAGGGGCGCCTGAGTGGCTCAGTGGGTTAGAGCCTCTGCCTTCGGCTCAGGTCATGATACCAGGGTCCTGGGATCGAGCCCCGTATCGGGCTCTCTGCTTGGCAGGGAACCTGCTTCCTCCTCTCCCTCCTGCCTGCCTCTCTGACTACTTGTAATCTCTGTCTATCAAATTAAAAAAAAAAAAAAAAAAATTCTCCCTCCCTTTCTCCCCCCCCCCTGTTTTTTTTTAAAAAAAAAAAAAAAAAAAGAAATCACCTGGGGAGCTTTATAAAAAATCCCAGTTGGCTAGCAACCTTGACAATGAAATCTGAATCTCAGAAGAGAGAGAGCGTGGGTATATATATGTGGGGGTTTACTCCCGCCCTCCCGGGTGACTCAGAGGCACTGAAGCACGATAAGGGGTGAGGAGCCATGGGCAGCTGGTCTAGAGGAAGACCATGGCTTCTATCCACAGAGCTTACCTCAGCTGGCTGACCAAATGAGCTCCTAAACAACACACCACATTTCATCACCTCAAATGATGATTCGCAAAGAATAAAAATTACAAAATATTGCCTGTTCCATACATATAATCATAGAAAATGATATTTTAAAACACAGAATAAGAAGCATATAGTTTCTAGTTGGTGGACCACATACAAGATGGAAACACTTGTAAAGGCACAAATGATGAAACCACGTCAGAGCTTAGTCATTAGCGGTGATTCTAGGTTCTTCTTTTGGCGTTTATCTGCAGACTGGAAATTCTCCACCATGAATGTGTCTCACCTTTGTGATACCTACTATGGTGCTGGCCTGTTGGTTTAAGAGATAAACACCACATACCGGCAGCATCTTGGGCAGTCACGTCCACGCCATGTGTCACCATGACCCTGAGGCATTCCACGTGCCCTTTCGTAGCGGCAAGATGAAAGCTGGAAGAGAGGTAAATACAATTGCCTTAAGATCTCCACTCTCGGGAGTCCAACCCCAATAATACTTTTTGCCTCTTCATGTACACTTTCTCTCTCCTGAGCTCCACAACCACCCAGTGAGGAGGTATTATTAGCGACCTCGCTTTAAAGATGAGGAAGCTTGAGGCTCCAATGGGTCTGATAATTTGCTCAGTGACCCTTTTTATTAAGTAAGGGAGTAGGAGCTAGATCTTGGGTTTTCCAACCTATAGACCAGGCTTGAAAGAGATGAGATTCTACTACATCATTCATCTCTTTAAGAAACATGAGAGTCCAAATTAGAGTCAATTCCTAAACAATAAGTAATTTATCAACTTTTTTCTGTTGTCTAGTGCTTTCACCAAAGCCATTATTTCTAAGTAACGTACTCTATAAAGAGAAACCTAAGCCGAACAATGGTCATGGTTCTTGGACAACATCAGTGTCAAATCCACTGTCATGCTGTAGCTGAATGATAGCAGTTGTACACAACTTTTGTTAGTGGCTAGTATGTACCAACGACCTTCTCATTTTTATACATCATCTCTTTTCCTTCTCATAATAGCCTTTGGAGGGTGAGTGTTGTCACTGTCTCCATTAGATGGCAGGTGTCTGTACTCAGGTGGAAACAGCATAAAGGAAAGCCCATAATTGGGCTCCAGCATTCACTGATACTTGGGGGTTCAAACCATGCTCGGCATGTACAGACTCACCATTTAGTGAAGGGATTGCATCCTAATGCCACACCAATCATCCCTGAGGATCCCAAGGGTGAAGAGCACTTCTACAGGCAGAAGTAAAGCACAATTCCACTGGGCATTAGGGCTCAGAGGCTGAGAAGGCCAAAATCTTGGGAAGATCTCCTTTCTATAGAAGGAGGTTAATGAACCTTCCACTTCTTCCCCTGCCTCAGTTCTATTTGTGGGAGTTACTGTCTCAGGATACTTGCCATGCAGCATTTTACTTGTGAGTTAACACCTAGGTTGTATTTGGGACAGGACCTTTAACTGGGGCCCAGAGTCCCACCCAAATTGCAAATCCATGACCTACACTAATGCAGAACCCCAGTCCTCTTGACCCCATGCCTCTGCTCTGAAGCATGAGGCTGAGTGAAGGTGGGCAGATCAGCAAAGAGGACACATCAGGTCTGGTTGCAAATCAGCCATACCTTAGCTATGTATCTTGGGGAAGTCAACTTGACTCTCTGACTCTAAATTTCCATCATTATTAAGTGCGGGGATTACGTCAGGTGATATCTGCTGCTTCCTCCAGCTCTAACAACCTTAGCTTCATTGGCTCTAATCACATCAACCATTTCTGCATTTGTGTAGCAATTTATGTGTCATGTTTCCTTCCAGCCAAATTGACTTCATGGGTGATTCCACAGTACAGTCAAACTTTGATCATACGAAGGGATGTGGGACCGTGGTAACCTGTTTAAATGGAACTCCTGGTTAAATACAATTCAACCAAAAGAACCTCCCTAGAAGGCAGTACAGTGAAACCCCTGCTTTCAGCATTGTTGGGCTAACCTAATTTACAGTAAGTCAAGTTCACCTTCAGGCACAGTTTCTTTTAACTGATCTGGCTGGAAGGTTTCTAAAATTTTTTCAGCATAAGTAACTGTATGTTACATAATTTAATTGCCCTGGAGGACATGAAGTCACCATTAAGAACCTCAATTATTGATCTCACCCTCTTAAGGCTTTTAATCTGCATGCCCCAGATTATTAATCCCTAATATTCATTAATATTTCTCTTCTTTTCTTCATGTCTGTGTGTTTGCTTCTAAGATGTTCACGCTGCCATCTTCTATGACCAGGGGAGAACTAAATCAACTACCTGAGCAAGACAGCCCTATCCTATGCTAAAGATAAAAGTACCAGGATAAGTAATTAGCATGCAAACATACAATATATACATACATGTGTACGGATATGTAACGTCTGATTAAAGTACAACATATGTAAAGAAAACGTCACATATCACAATTATAGAGCCTGCTCAATTTCCACAAATGGAATATACCCATTTTATTTTCATAAGGACACAGACATGGCCAGAGACCCAGAAGTCCTCCTTGTATCTCCTGCCAGCACTCCCGAAAGCTCTCCACGCGTCCCTTCTAGTTACTAACCCCCCAGCGCATGTGTTATTTGTATTTTTCCTACTCTGAGGCTTCCTGGAGTGTCACTGGGTTGCATACAATATTCCCAGGGGGTTGAAATTACAGACACATGTGATGAGGAAGCATGACTGTAAGTTTCTGCTATACAATCTGACGAAGGTACAATACTATTCCACAGATGTAGGGTTCAGGATCTTTATTTAGAAGGCCAAGAATTGTAACAAGAGTTGTAACAAGGCAGGAGAACTGAGGTGCTAGGAAGTTGGGCTCAAAATTCAATCCTAGTCAGAACCTTTCTTAGACATTTCTTTTTAAAATAAAAGCCCTTATACCCATCTTTGATGGCTATAACACATTTTATTGAGGGATCCAGTTAGTTAAGGTTTCACTGCATATGATTTAATAAATTGTGTGTGTGTGTGTGCATGGCTTCATTGTACTGTCTCTCATTACAGTTTGGATCAGGAAGTGACTTTTTTCCCTCTATTCTGGGAACCCTCCATCTATTCTCTTGCAGAATATTGTGTCCTACTGAGAAAACAGAATAATGAGATCCTTTCACAACTGTATCCCCATATATTTGACCTAAACTTTCAGCACTCATGCCTCTATAGATAAAATGAACAAAGTACTAATAATTAGAAATAGATTATATAAGGACAGGTACTCATGTTTGTAATTTTATACTGCATGATGTTTTTAGCTAGTAAAATCATTCTTAATTGTTGTGATTCAATTAAATATATCATGATTTCAAGGTGTTTCTCAGAGAAAAGGGATGAACATGAAAAGCAGAAAAGGGAAGAGTTGATCACTTTAGCCAGAAGTTTCTAATTCATTTTTCCAGACAAAGAATTCCACTATGGACCATCATTCTGAGTATGTATTTCCAGAAAATGCGCACAAAGCCAAGAAACACATGTAAGTTTGCTCTTAGGGAATATTTACTAATGCTGTGCATCATCTATTTGCCCCTCCAGATTTGCCCTCCACCTTTACCCCCTGGGTCAGTGGCCCCGGAAGCACTCCTTTTATGGACTGCATTTAATGGGCTGCCTTATCCTCTGGCTTCTGGTTGGGTTCCACTAATGGGAGGCACTTATGAGAGATAGGAGGATGAGAAGGGAGAGTTCAGGGCATTATCCTTTCTACTCCTTCCCTGCCAGGCCACACATACTGGCTCTCAAGACTATGAAATTCACAGCTCTGGGGGCCAGTTGCCCTGAAGCTACAGCTGTAGCTCTCTCTTGGTTTTGGGAACTACTCTCTCTCTCTCTCTCTCTCTCTCTCTCATACTCTCGGTCCCTTCAGGTGGGGGGAGAGGGGCACGAAGGAGGGGAGAGAATGCTGGAACAAATTCCCACTGTTACTGGCTCAAGGTTCCTTCTCCAACCCTGCTGATTTAATCCTGACCACAAATTTGTAAATACTTCCTTTCTTAAAGGGTCATCAATGATCCTACCTGAGGGTGCTCCTTCTTATTGGGACCTTAGAGGACACCACTGACACCAGGGTATTCTGTGTGTGACCATCCACAGGGTGAACTGTTAGGTTCCTCTGGACATTATTTGATTAAATATTTACTGGGGCAAACTAAGGCTTTTTGAAAAAGGTTTTTACCCCACATGTAAATCACTACTTAAGACAGTCGGGCATTTTGGCTAAAAAGCTTTGATGGGAGAATGTGCCAAATCACATTAATTATACAGAATATGATATGGGACTTCAAAAGAGTTTCCGGATATAGTGTCAGGCCTAAGTAGAAATCAGTTTAAAAGATTCAAAAGTAAAGCTCTGGAAGGATCAGGAAAACAATGGACTTAAATGAACACCACATGCAGTCCAGAATACCCCACCGTGCAATAAAGAAATGCTAAAATTGAGATTTTAAACTGGATTTGGTCTTGAAAGACTATCCACAATACATATGAGCACATATAGTTGTACAGGCTACAACTAGGTTCTCAAATTGAGAACGCCTTCGTAAGTTCTATGCACATACACTGTGGAATAACATTTCTTCAGTAGTGAGTTGGAAGTAAAAAAAGGTTTAGTAAAATCTTCAATACCATATGCTATATTCTATACTCTGTTTATATACTGTATGGTACTCTACACAGTATATACTAACTGTATCTACCACACTACTGCACTATAAAATAATCTGTGAGCTACATTTAGAAAGAGGAAATACAACCATCAAGACATGTAGCTATTTGGTATCTGCTGACCACTCAAACTCCTTAAAATAACCTCCCTCTTATCTAATGTGTTGCTGCCATAGAATTTGTCAGCATTTTACTACCTGACTTGGGACATAGGGTCTATAACGTGAGTTTGCTAAACCAACTACCACATAAAAGAAAACCAAAATGACCAAAATGACCAGTGTACTGACTTAGTTTTTTTTATTTTTTTAATTTTTTTTTATTTTTTAGTTTTATTAGTAATCTCTATGCCCAACACAAGGCTCGAACTCACAACCTTCACCAAGATCAACAGTCACATGCTCTACCCACTAAGCTAGCCAGGTGCCCTTAGCTTTTGTCCTGTTTTTATGTAAGCTGTACAAATGCAAGAGAAATAAGGCACAGATGAGGCGATGACATGACTCTGTCAGCAACCTCCCAGCAACCCATTTCTTATACACGGGAGCACTAAGAACTAGTTGCCTTACCCTTGAACAGCAACCAACTACCAGCAAAAAGAGCTGTGCCATTGTGTTTAATCCTCCTTAGAGAGAAAGCGGCTGGAAGATAGAGCCCTGTCTTCCTTCTCTCATTCCCCATCCCTGTCCCTAGAAAGAAGTTCTTAATCAGGAGTGGAGTAAATGCCACTACACAGAAGGGCAAGA